ATGCCCCTTGCAGTTCAAATTGGATAACATGTCAGCTTCATTTAGTCATGCAGCTTCTGTATGTTGCTGTGCACATTGGTTACTGGTTCTTACGTGTGGTTCTTTGCAAATTATGCAGCAGAATATGTATATAGCTTGCTAAAAGCATTTGAGCTTTTTATACTAGTTTTGTGAATTAAATTCAATTTAATTTAATTATTGCTGATTTTAGGTAGTGCCCTGTGTGCATCCAGAATGTGGAGGGTGCCTAAATCTGGAAATAAAAAATCAAGGTCTGTCACACCACTGTAGATAGCTAACTCTCTCCTTCTTGCAGCTGGGCATGGAATGATTTAGCCACTCAAATGGTCTAGCAAAAGAGAGGTACCATAGTATGTAGCAGTGTAGCAAAAGGAAATTCTAAGAGTAGGAGCTATTGTTTGTGACTTCTCTTCTGTTAAGAAGCTGTATTGAGGAGGGGTGAAATTAGACTGTACCCTACCATGCTTGTGTGAACTATAGCCAAAGCATTGCATGGCATCTGTATTGATAGGATTCTAACAGGAGTGTTATTGGCACACTGAGGCAGAGTTAAGGTTGTGCTGTGGGTGAGAAATTTACCTTAAATTCATCATGTCCTGGTTTTCAGAGATTTGTTTAGTCACTTTCATATGCTTACAATATTTGTAAGCATTTTAATTTCTTTGTGTGTTAAATATTGTCCTTCCTTTGTACCACTACTCAGCTGTCCCTCTTCATCACTTCTGGTTTCTTTCAGTTGGCATAAAATGCAGTGGCTGAATGTGACCTTCTCTTCTCTCATCTCTGCCCTGCCAAAGTAGCCTGGTAGTCTCTGCTTAGTTCACCTCCCCAGAGAGAAGAAGGTGTCACTGGGCCCTGCAGGTTGAAGAGTTGGGGAGTAGATGCAGGAACACTACAAAGACAATTCTGGAATCAGTGGGGTTGGTTTTTTGTGGGTTTTGTTTTTTTAGTGGGAGAAAAATATTGGAAGTATAGTTTTTTTGTAGACATCCATGCATCATCCCCAGGTGCAGCATATGAGGCTCAGAGAGGTATGAAGTGGCCTGTTCATGTCAGAGTGTTCTCATTCTGCTGAGAACAATCCACTGGAGGTAAATGCTGTCTGAAACCAACTCCCAAGAGGTGTGAACCTCTCCATTCACCACCTCCTCACAGCCCCATTTTGACCCTTTGATATCCCTGTTCATAGAAGCAGGTGAAGGACTCAAGACTCCTTCAGAGGGAGGAAGGCTCCCCTAAACCTGGTTGACACACCAAGGCAAATGGGAGGATAGCCTTAGACTCCCATGTAAGGGCAGGGGACTTTTTATTCTTGCTAGGTGCAGGATTTCTGCCTTCCCTGAGAATTGCTGTTGCTCCAATCCTTTGTGTAACATGTGCCTTTCTGGTCAAAGCCACTGGCCTGAGAAATAAGTCTGTGAAGGGGCGGGGAGGAGAAGGGGGAAGCAGGGTACAGCCTCACACTGCCTGATTTACCCCAGTTTTCAAATGGGACAACGTGAAAGATGACAAGGCTCACTCCACCCTATATTCTCCCATATCTTGGTCATTACAGTTTAGCCACTAATACTGTCCAGAACTCAAATAAGGCACAGCAGATTCCTAGACAATCAAACTCAGCATGTTGATTGACCCTGTTTAGAATAATTCCCCTTTAAACAGAAAGGGCTGCTCAACCCTAAGTATAGCAGAATACCAGTTCTGTAGTGATACAGAATTATCCTGATGCTCAGTTTGCATGTTTTAGTCTCTTTACACTGGACTTTTTATCATTTATGTGTCAAGAATATTAATATAAAAAAGGAAGGAGATAGGAAGCTTCCTTTAAGCTGACAGAAAAGCAGCTTACCTTAAGGGTGGTTACAAAGAGGATAGAGAGAAATTGTTCTCAGTGGTGGCAGATGACAAAACAAGGAGCAATGGTCTCAAGCTGCATCAGGGAAGCTTAGGTTAGATATTGGGAAAAACGGTCTCACAAGGAGGGTAGTAAAGCACTGGAACAGGTTTCCCAGAAAAGGGGTGGAATCTTCATCTATGGAGGCTTTTCAGACCTGGCTTGATAAAGCCTTGGCTGGGATGAGGTAGTTGGGGACAGCCCTGCTTTGAGCAGGGGTTGGACTAGCTGAACATGAGGTCCCTTCCAACCCTATTTTGCTATGATTCTTTGATTCTATGCAAATATGGACAAAAATAACTTTGGATTTTTTTAGGCATGTTCAGGGAAAATTTGTTACAGTAATCCTGTACGGTGCGGGACTCGATCTGGATTTGTGCATCACTGAGAGAATTGTTAAGTGTAAGTATTGTCTCCAGTGAAGGGCTCACTTGAGTTATCTATTCTTCTCAGTTTGGTTTAGCCTGAGTGAGAGCAGTTGTATTGCAAAACAACATTCAAGCTGCTCAGAGTGATTGGATTAACAGCAAGGAGTAGATGAGTTCCTACTACATTGCTAAATCCAGGGCATATCTCCATTGCAAGCTTACCATGTCAGGCAAATGTGATGCACAGCTTTGTGTCAGCTGCCCTTCCCTTATCACCTGGAAGCAGCACAGTGATGTTTGGTGTGGCAGTGCATTCAGGCCTCTCTGCAGTACTAATTAGCTTGAGCAAAGCTCTGAATGAATGCAGGCAGCTACCTTGCTTCCAGGTTAAGTGGTAGCACATGAGGAAATGCGACATTCTCAATCTCGCTGCTGACTGGCACAGTCTGTGATAAAGACATGCTTCCAGGGGTGTTGGCACTCAAGCTTTGTCCTGTCTCCTGATGTGCCAGCTAATTTGGACTTAAAGCACCAGGCATACTCAAAAGTCTTGTCAGGGGGACTGTTCAAATAATAGCTAAAGCTAACAATGCAGTGAAGTCAAGCACTTGGTTCTAACTGCAGAATCAAATTATTTATGGTACTACAGAGAACAAAATGAATTTCATATGTGCTGGTGTGGGTGGGTGTTTGCATGCTTGTGTATGCATAAACTAAGGAGTGTCTGTCCTGCAAAGCTGATGGAGATCTTAAGGTCCAAAAAATATCAGGTAAATATACCCTGAAAGAATTGCACATCTATGTGCTACTAGACAAACTAATTGGTTTAACTTCTCCACAAAAAAGGGAAAACCATCTCTCTGGCTTCTTAGAATTGCTTCGAAAATGTTAACAAAATAGTAGATAACATCCTCACCATGGAAATGATTGACTTGGATTCTTTGGAAACTTTGCATAAGGTCCCTCCATAAAAGATTAACAGGATCGTAAATAACCATGTGATAATAGATGAAGGCTAGATCCAATAAGACTTAGGTGTCTAAAGTAGCACTCGGGAACATAGCTGCACCTAAGTTTAACCTTGCAAACTTTAAACTCCTGCTGCCTAACCATGAAGGTACCTAAACTTTGACTTTAAAATTACCTAGGTAACTCGCATTGCGCTACTGCGTGTGCTGCGAATTGATCTAAACAAGGCTGAGTAGTTCAGCATCTACCTAGGATCCAGAAGGAAAGTGTTTTCCCTGCCTAGGTCCTTAGAGGGGTGTCATTCAGTAGGCATTTTCAACATGACCCTAAAACAGTTAAGGTTGGATTCTATACAAAATGCAGTTTTAGCTGTTTCTTATCCTTCGAGAGTATGGCCACAGGAGGAGATGTTCATTTTCCTATAGTTAGGGACCTACCTAATTTGGGGTGGCTGCCTCCAGATTTTATGGTCCCTGGCATGGTCTTGGGTACCACTTTCACAGCAGAGCACAGCAGGCCCCCCACGCCTCCGATCGATTGTCTGAGAGGGTCCTGGAAGTCCCACCCCTCCATGGAGATTGACATGTGGGAGGGGCAGACTTCTGGGCCCCTCCCCCGATTGGGGGGGCACCATGCTCTGCTGGGAAAACCTCTGCCAACCCCCCCCC